TTGTAAAACAAATACAACACAGCCCCAGGGGAGCTGGCACATTTGAGGGCCCTCATCCAGAATTGCTTTCTTCCACCTGGATTCATTCCGAAGATCCCTGTCAACATTCACTCTTTGCAGTCCATAAACAATGCATGTCAAATCATCACACTGTACACGTTAAATATCTTACAGCTTGTTGTCCACTACAAATCAGTTTTTAAAAGCCATGGACGCATCAACAAAAGAGATAAAAAGCAGAAAACACTAACAGCGTGCCCCTGGGGGCTCACCAGGAGAATTCCTCCCCATGGATTCTGCAGTCTCTTTCCCCCGGCTTCTGTCTCCACTGTGAAGAGATGAGTCAGCCATGTCAGCCATGAATCACTCTTTAAAGTCCCCTTGATTCACAGTAAACATCCTGGGGAAATGACTTCATTTCTCTAGAGCCTTGGGTCAAGGGGATTTAGAATGTGAGAGGCTCAAGGCTCACAGTCGTGATCATCAAACAGCACTCAGCAGGAGGACCACGTAAATCATGGCTGATTGGGCCCTGCCCAGAGAATCTGATCCAGTAGGCCCGTGGTACGTGGGTGCTCAGGGGATAAGTCATGTCCAGCCCTTTGTGTCCCCATGAACTATAGCCCACCAGGTTCTTCTGTCCACGGGATTCTCCAGGCAGGAATACTGGAGTGGGTTGCCATTTCCTCCTCCAGGGGATCTTCCCACCTCAGGGATCGAGCTCACATCTCCTGCCTTAGAAGGCAGGTTCTTTCCCACTGAACCACCAGGGAAGCAGGTCTGTGGTGAAGCTCCAGAACTTACATGCTTAGCAAGGTTCCAGGTGATCCTGGTCGGGGACTGTGCTTCGAGAAACAACGCTTTCAATGAAAGGATGTAGAAGGTCAACTTCAAGGTGGTAGGGTGCTGAGAGCAATAACACCTAGTGCTTCCCCTGTGAGGGAAGAGGCAGGTTATCTGGAAAGGGGGATGAAGAGAGGAAATCGTGAGGAGAGCATATAAGATGTAAAATAGCCACAACAGGGAATCGTCAGCATTCGCTCAGGGCTAACGCCCTAACCAAAGTAGTTACGATACCAGTTTTCATCGAGCAGTGTCTCTGAGCTAGGGACTGTGCTAAGAATTCTGTGTGCATTTACCCCTCCTGAAACACTATGTATTAGGAATTTCATAAACCCCATTTAACAAGGAGACAGCAAGTTCATGGGTCTAGTAAGTGGAGAATCTAGGATTTAAATTCACAAATTGCAGAGTTTATGGTATCAGCAACCTGGCTGCGTGTGTGTTAGTCGCTCAGTCGTGTCTGACTCTTTGTGACCCATGGACGGTAGCCCGCCAGGCTCCTCTGTCCACGGGATTCTCCAGGCAAGAATGCTGGAGTGGGGTGCCGTGCCCTCCTCCAGGAGATCTTCCCCACCCAGGGATCGAACTGGGGTCTCCTGCATTGCAGGCGGATTCTTTACCTTCAGAGCCACCAGGGAAGCCCAGCAACCCTGCTGTTCTGAGCTAAAAGCATTCGTCAAGCTGTTCTGAAATGAATCTCATCCTAAACAACCCACCTGACTTCTTTCTGTGACCAGTGTTGAGAATTTCTCACAATGCGTCCTGTAGATTTCCTCAGTCTCTGCGGACGACAGTAGCAAAGCAAGAGAGCGAGGCTGACAGGACCTCCCGGGTGCTCCGGCGGTTTAGACTCCGCACTCCCGACACGGGGGGCGGGAATTAAGGTCCCACGGACCTCGGCCAAAGAGAAGAGAGAGAGATGTCGGGTGTAGCAGGGCGGGGTAAGCTGGTGTCTCTGGAAGGGCCTCACAGCTTGGAGAGTTTGCTGTAACGGAGCGGACCCTCAGTCTCCCAGACCGGTCGCTAAACTCTCATGACCCCAGGGGACTAAATGCCGCTTCATTCATCTGTACCAAAGAGGGAATGCCTCCTTTCAGTGGTAACCAGAATACTTACATTATCCCCAGAGCAAGTTCTTCTGACAAAACCAAAGTATCTGGGGCTCAGATTAATATTCAGAGTGCCATTTAGTGAGTCAGACTATTTACAGGAAGTAAATTAAGATGCTGAAATTCAGCTAGAAGACCATGGCATGGTTAGGCAGGTATTTTCAGCCAGCATGCATTCTGATATCTGTATCTATGCTATACTGATTATTAAATAATTTTTGTAGTTAGATTACCTAGATGATAAAACACACAAAACCATAAATCACAGGCACTCCATAGGAATGTTAATTTAGAAGCAAGCAGCAAATAAGAAGATGGTGACTGATATTATAAAGTGGAGCATCTTATCAAAGGAAGATATTATAAATATTTAGTACATTTTGAAAGTAGGAAATACCTAAGAAGGTTTCAAATGGCACGGGTTTTTTTATGTTTACATATGTGGTTAAAAAATAAGTTTATTTTGCTGGAAAATTCAGCTATATATCAAAGTGAATTTCCATATGATTTAGATGAGAATATATACTAAGAAACAAATAACTAACTATAACCCCCTTGGAAATGGCTCACCTATGAAGTACTAAATACACAGGGTAACAACATGGCTACATATCTAAAGAGAAGTAAAGAACAGCTACTTGTAATGCAAATATTCCAGTAGATCTTACAAAAGTCAACTGTCAGTCAAATGGCCACATATGAAGGCAGAATAATTTATTACTTTTGTTATTTTAACTTCTCCCAATGTAAATATTAATATATCCTTAATATATATAATAATGTATATAGTGATGCTCACAATATAAAGTCACACATTTTTAAAGTTGCTCAAAACTACACTTTCCAAAAATATTCATACAAGCACTGTTCAATTATGTACAAAACTGGAAAGTGTTGATAAGGTTCATTATCCACACTGATGTGCTGAACTGTTAACTCGGGTTAGTTACTAGAACAGTTCTATTCAATCGCCAAAGGATGACATGTACTTGACTCCCCACTTGAAGTTATTGCTACAAAAAGAAACCACCACCTCGGAAGCAAGTTACTGTCTCATCACTCCATCTGCACAAGGCCCAGAAGCACAGCCCAAGAGCTCATGGGAACAGTGTGAAAAGGTGAAAACTTCTTTAAGCACCTAAAAAAATCAGCCTCACAGAGAATTATACGCACTGTTTTATAATAACTTATAAGGGAAAAAAACCTGAAAAAAATATATATATGCACGTATAACTGAATCTCTGCTGTACATTTGAAACTAACACAGCCTTGTAAATCAACTAGACCTCAATTTAAAAAAAATCATCCTCATCCATACACAGATCACAAGCGATGTTGTACTGTTATCATTCAAAAAGTATTTCAAAACTCTATAGTGCATACATTTTTCCTTGAACACTTAAGTACCTCTAAAGAGTACTTTTATTTATAGACTTTCCACAAGTATTAAAACCTTTTAAAAAATGCCCTCAAAAATAACAACCCCTTCAGTGTGTGGAATTCTAAAACGTAAAGCTTTGGACTATATGACAGTTGAACAAAAAAATGTGAACTAACAATTAGCTCCTCCTCAGAGAAATAAGATGCTGCCAGATTTATGAAATGCCTTCCCAGTTGCCAAAGGGGCTGGTTGGTAATCTGGGATCTGGTGCCATCTACTGGTCAGTCATAGTAACTTGTCCCTACTTGCTTCTGCTTAAAGTGTGGGATTTACTATTTAATCTGTGAAATAGGTACTCCTGTGAAAGTGACTGGAAAGGAATTTGCTAATGTAAAAATACTTACTATGTTTAGAGTGGGGCTTTGTTCCTTTTGAATGGCCATATAAGTTTCCTAAGAAAATAGGTTGATTTAAATATTTACAGAACACAAGAAATACAGGAACTTGAAAGACTTGGGCAAAATGAGAAAATGAACAGAATCAAGACAGAGAATGACACTCTTGGGACTTCTCTGGGCCCAGTGGCTAGGACGCCACACCTACTGTTGCAGGCTGGGGTTCAGTCCCTGGGGAGGAAACTAAGATCCCGTAAGCTCCACAGGGCAGAAGAAAAAAAAAAGAAAAACCTTAAGGTCACTCGCAAAAGAAGGTGGGCATTGGAGACGGTCACGAATCTGGTGCTGGCAACCGAGAGTCATTTGACCCATCAAAACCAAAGACCTACTTTTCTCTTACTGTTTACAATTAAAGCTGGTTATCTAGCATAACATAAATCAAGACCTCTTCTGAATTAGCATTATGAGAAATTTATTCCAATAGATTTACAAGAAGAAACTCTGAAGGCATTCTTTGAAATGTCAAACAAACATAAATATGTGGTTTAGCTTGACTAGAAGTTCCAGGATAAACCGTGTTTAGCGTGCAAAGTTCTGGGGCTTTGCCTGGGCCATAGAAACTACAATCTCATAGGAGACAAGGTACTGAAAGACGCAGCGTGCAAGTAACTTGCTTGGTTGCCAAGAAATAATTTCTCCTTTCTCACATGTTTTTATACTGTACATCAAGGACATACTGTTGATTTCTTTTTTTTTTCCTTTAGAATTATTTTATTAAATCATAAATGTACAACAGCTTCTTAACTCTACACATGCACTTAAAATTTTTTAAAGGAAAAACGTTATGTCTTATTACACCATGATCCTGGCTAATAGCTTTTCAAAACTTTGAGAAAAATCTTAAAAACGGTTTCACATGTCACCTGAAACTTACAAATTTAACATTATCAAAGAAGGAATGCTTCTACACTCTTACAAAGACCACTAGAAAGAAACAAGCATTAAAAAGCTAAGAAACTGTCTCCGAGGCATTTTTTTTTTTACAATCCTTCCTCCACAGTAAGGTAATGTTATTAAATAATCCAATCCATTCACAAAACGGCTCTCTGCATCTGCTCTGGTGTCTTCTGCCATATCACTGCATATTTATGCATGACTGAGATAAGATTTTCCTTAACATTGTTATTTCGATAACCTGAAGCTGTTCTGTTACCTCTGGGCTCTCATCCTCTCCTATTTATACAGTGAAGCCCATGGCAAATAGGAAGAAGCTCAGTATCTGCTTCTCCCTCCATAACCCCCACTTCCTCCACTGCCTCCTGGACCATAATTTCCTCCACCATATGGGCCCCCCATGTTCCTGCCACCACCAAAATTTCCACTCTTCATTGGACCATAGTTAGACGGTTGTTGATTATAATTTCCAAAATCATTGTAATTTCCACTCCCGTAATTTCCTGCTCCATAGTTGTCATAACCACCTCCGTAGCCCCCACCCTGGTTGCCATATCCAGGTCCTCCACCACCATATCCTCCTCTTCCTCCTCCATAACCAGGGCTACCTCCAAAATTGCCACCTCCAGGTCCTCCTCCATACCCATTATAGCCATCCCCAAATCCACGGCCGCTTCCGTATCCATCAGAGCCTCCTCTAAAGTTACTTCCTGGTCCCGGTCCACAATTTCCACCGCCACCACGAGAGTCTCCAAAACCAAAGTTGCCTCCTCTTCCACTTCTAGGACTTTGGACTCGTTGCATCTCGTGTCTAGACAAAGCCTTTCTTACTTCTGCATTATGACCACTGATAGTATGGTATTTTTGCAACACAATCTTATCCACGGGATCATGGTCATCAAAAGCAACAAATCCAAAGCCTCTTTTCTTTCCAGACTGCCTATCAGTAATTATCTCAATGGTGTCAATTTTCCCATATTCCGCAAAGTAATCTCTAAGATGATGTTCCTCCGTGTCTCCCTTAATTCCACCAGCAAACAGTTTCTTCACAGGTGCATGAGCCCCTGGCTTTCCAGACCCCTCTCTTGCAACAGCACGTTTTGGCTCAACCACTCTCCCATCAATTGAAGGAGGTCTTGCAGCCATGGCAGCATCGACTTCAGCCACGGAAGAAAAAGTCACAAACCCAATCCTCTTGATCTTTTGCTTGCAGGATCCCTCATTACCACACAATCTGTAAGTTTTCCCCATTGCCCGTAGCAGTTCCTCAAACTTTCTTCTGTAGTTTCAAAGCTCAAGCCACCAATAAAGAGTTTACGGAATTGTTCCTTTTCTCTCTCCATCGCGGACTCAGTCGCTTCAGCCCCGTTTCCCGCAGCCGAGCGAGATGAGAGAGATCTCCGCGGACGAACACGAGCCGGACTCGTCCTGGCGCTGCAGTGAGAACTGCCGCTGCTCGAGCAACAACACCGCTGGAGCACCTCCACCCCAGACCCGGCGCTGCTGCTACTGCCCTGTGGATTTCTTTATAGATACTTTTCCTCCATAGATCTGAAGGAAACTGTAATTCCAGATCCCTGTGTTTGTTCACTGGTTTCACAAAGGTCTCCAAGGGGACCAACATCAGACTGTATTCTGTTCCCACTCTATACGTACTTTCTAGCACAATGTCTGATACGCCGGCACATACACATTTCCCATACAGTGAAGTGTTAGTTGCTCAGACGTGTCCCACTCTTTGGGACCCCATGGACTGCAGCTGGCCAGCCTCCTCTGTCCATGGGATTCTCCAGCAAGAAGCCTGCAGGGGGTTGCCATGCCCTTCTCAACCCGGGGATGGAACCCAGGGTCTCCTGCTTTGCAGGCAGATTCTGTACCATCTGAGCCACCACGGAAGCCCCTACTCATACAGTAGGCACTCAATAAGTGTTTTAATTAGGTAATTAAAATGTAAAGCCAGAGCAGAGGCCGGGGGGAGGGGGGAATAGGAACACAAGAAAAGAATGATGAAGGAAAGGAAGCAAGGGTCCCTCTACCGGCCCTCACAGCAGGGCCAGAAATCGCTCTGGCACTAATATCTGAGCAATATCTGTTTAAAGTGTGACCATGTTTTTTTTTTCAAACTCCAATTGATATTTGATAGAAAAACACAATTTTCTTGGCAGGAAGATTCATTACAAACGGCTGAAAGCTGAAACACTACCATACCTGGCGTCAAAGTTTAATCAGAGAAAAGCAGCCAGTAGGAGTGAGGTATGTAAGAAGGGATTTATCGTAAAGATTTGACCTCATGGAATTGTGGGAGCTGGTTAAACAGTCTACGGGAGGCATTTACTTCGAGTGCCGGGGCCTGGAGTGAGCAAGGCTGGCCCTCAGGAGGGAAAGATGGATGTAAGCGGAAAAGAGAAAGGAGAAACTGGGGCCTGCAGAAAGAGGCGGGATGTATGCGCCCAGGGGTGTGTGCGCACGCGAAGTCTCTTCAGTCCTGTCGGAGGGGAGAGGGGGCTGGATTAGAACACAGGAATATTCGTACGTGATGGAAGTGGTCTTGATTTTGGTGGTAGTCCACAGGGGTATATGAAGCTTTCAAAAATAATTGAAGTGTGTGTTTTTAATGGGCGCATTTTATCGGACATAAACTATACCAGAATATGAAGCTGATTTAAGATGAGACCGGAGTGAGTCCCATTCTTCCCCTGTTAGCTGTGGCATTCTTTTGATCTTTCTTTAAAATGTACTGCTGGTTGGAGGGTAATTGCTTCAGGGCTGCAGTGCTGGCCGGGCGCAGCGGCCTGAATCAGCACAAAGTCGTCGCAGAACAGCCCGCTGAGCGCCCGACCTCACGCCAGCTGGGGAATTTTTCTTCACTTCATCTCTTCTCTGTGCTAAATATGAGGATTAGCTTTTCTGACTACTGAGGAATTCTTTGCTGAAAACTGAAAACCTGGTCAGGTCAAAGAGTCCTAGAAAATGTAAAAACTTAACCAAGAACAAGGGAGATGATTCAGCACAGTGAACGACGGGAAGCAATCATGTACGAAAGCGCTCTAGAGATCGTCACCACTGGGACGAGGCCCAAGAAGAAAGACCACATGTTTTGACATTTTTAATACTAGCATTAGTTCACCATTGACCAAGAGCGCACTTATTTGCATTATATCAGGGCAACCTCAGCCAGCATACTTAAGGTCACGGCTACCTCTTGAGTCTTTCTATTTTTTATTATACTGTGACAAAATTTCCACCAGAAGAAGCTGACAGGGAGAAAAAGAGAAGAGAAGGTCAACACCCACAGAAAATTAGACTTTCTTCCTGCTTTCAGCAGTCAGAGTGACTTTTATCACAGACAGAAAAGTTTCTATATTTGGATTTCACACATATAAAATATGCAAGGAACATCTGCTATAAAAAGCTTTTTCACTGTCCTGGATCCTAAAGGGCATGTGCCTTTCACTTATTTACTCAAGCATGTTCATTAAGACTTCCCAGAATAAAGGACAGAATGGGTCATCGTAACAAAAGCAGAGTGGAAACCCAGAAAACGCTTTTCATAAAATGTGAGTTTTCTTTGTCCAAATGCAAAGAGTTCATCATCTTGAAGTGTGTCATGGCAGGTGCTATGTCAAACTGTACAAGTATGACTTCATTCTGAAAAAAAAAAGAGCCTTTTTCACTCTCCTTTTAGAAGAAACCTGTTTAAAACCATTACAACAGAAAATGATATGTTGTACTTAAAACATATGATTAGGCATTTCTTTATGTGATGCGTTGACAGTCATGAGCAAGTGTAAGTATGCTTGCAACTGGTTAAAATAAAAGCAAAAGCATCCAAATAGTTGTGACTTTGTAAGTTAAAAGATTAAAAACTGTTTTGAAGGTTGGAATTAGTCCTCGTAAAGATGGGAAAGCACTTTCATAAATTTCATTTTTACCAGCAGAGAATCAAAATGCCTTTTACTCGTGAAGATGGGAAGAAAGAGATTATGCTTTCTAAATATCAAAACATCTTCATTGACTTTGGCTTTTAAAACGGAAGCAGGGTTATCCTCTTATTATTTATTATTCTTTCAGGAACAATAAAACCAAGCAAAATCTGAGTGCGTGACAGTTTTAACTTTCATGTTACATAATGGAAATGGGAATCTTTATGAACTTTGATAAATTCATTAAATCAGCATTTGTCAAGCATATGTATGAGATACTGTTCTAAGCCCAAGAGAAGAATTTGCCTCTTTCTGGGACTTCCCTGTGGTCCAGTGGTTAAAACTTCACTTTGCAATGCAGGGGACGCAGGTTCTATCCCTGGTCAGGGACCTAAGATCCCACATCCTGTGGAGCAACCAAGCCAGAGCCTGCATCCCCCGAGCCTGTCGCCACAGTGAGAGTCCAAGCACCACATCGAAAGATCCCGCAGGCCACAGCTAACACCTGATGACAAAGCTAAACTGATTAATTAATTGATTGATTTTTTTCTTTTAAGAATTTGCTTTTTTCCTCTGGTGGGGGGGAATGCCATTAATCTCAAAAAATACCTGGAAAGAAAGAACACCATTGTCTTAAGGGCACAGGCTTTCAGCGTCTTTCACTCGCCCAGTGAACTGAGATGAAGACCAGGTTTCCCTCCAGCACTTGGACGTCGTGCTTCGGCCTCTCTGTTCAAGGGTGGTGTCCTGAGTCTCTGCGTTGAACCTTGTCCTTCAGGCTCCTCTCCATCTCAGGATCCCTTCCAGCCCCGACTCCTCTCTGTCCCACGCCTCCCCAGCCCCCGGGCCCCACATGGCTTGTCTGGGGCGTTCAGTATGAGCCGTGCCCACAGAGGGTCTCTCCCCGCTTTGCAGCTCCATTCAGCGGAGAGCTCCTGGGTAGGGGAGGAATGCGTGAAGGACGCCTTCTTCCGGAAGTTATACTGCGGAGATGCACTGGAGGGGTGTGAGTGTGCTCAGCTGTGTCTGGCTCTGTGTGACCCCGTGGACTGTAGCCCACCAGGCTCCTCTGCCCATGAGATTCTCCAGGCAAGACTGGGCTGGCATTTCCTCCTCCGGGATCTTCCCACCCCAGGGATCAGCACCTACGTCTCCTTGTCTCATGTATTGGCAGGCGGGATTCTTTACCACTGAGCCTCCTGGGAAGCCCCAGGTGGGGGCTTTCAAGACATGAAGAAAAAAACCTACTCAGCTTAAAATATTTCCCAGGAATAAACTGCAAATCAGAGACTGATTTATGATGACAGCTCTAGTTAATAATTGCAAACACACATTTGGAAGGTTAATCCCAGTAGTCACTCACAGTAGGTCAAAGTCAGTTAAGCTTAAGTGTAGCTTTGTTTGAAAAGAGAAGCCGAGGTCACCTGGTCTGTCTGGGCAGGTCTGTGTGAGCTTTCACGCCGCAGCTGATGAGACTGGCATGCACGAGATCCTCGATAAACAACCAAGATCATGGCATCCAGTCCCATCACTTCGTAGCAAATAGATGGGGAAATGTGCAAATGGCGTCAGATCTCATTTTCTTGGGCTCCAAAATCACTGCAGATGGTGACTGCAGCCATGAAATTAAAAGACTCTTGCTCCTTGGAAGAATAGCTATGACCAACCTAGACAGTGTATTAGAAAACAGAGACAGGACTTTGCTGACAAAAGTCCATATAGTCAAAGTTATGGTTTTTCCAGTGGTCATGTATGGATGCGAGGGTCAGACCATAATGAAGGCTGAGTGCCAAAGAACAGATGCTTTCAAACTGTGGTGCTGGAGAAGACTCTTGAGAGTCCCTTGGACATCACAGAGATCAAACCAGTCAATCCTAAGGGGAATCAGTCCTGAATATTCATTGGAAAGACTGATGCTGAAGCTGAAACTCCAATATTTTGGCCACCTGATGCGAACGGTCCACTCTTTGGAAAAGACCCTGATGCTGGGAAAGATTGAAGGCAGGCAGAGAAGGGGACGACAGAGGGTGAGATGGGTGGATGGCATCACCGACTCGATGGACATGAGTTTGAGCAAACTCAGGGAGATGGTGAAGGACAGGGAACCCTGGTGTTCTGGAGTTCATGGGGTCGCAAAGAGTCAGACACAACTTAGCAACTGAACAACAACAACAATATGGTCATCAGAACTCTTATAAAATCCTACAGCCCACCACGTAAATTTCACTTGGTGAAACAAAACAAAGCCGAAAACTCTCCAGCTGCTCTCTTGTCACTCTATAATGGAATTTAAGAATGAATATATTAATTTTGTCTTACTTCCCTGGCTGTTATCAATTGTCTTGGTTCGAGGATACTTTAAGGCACAAAAGATTATCACTTGTATACATGTCTAACTTTCATTGTACAATATGTAAGGCACTTATCTTTGTGAAATATTTTTACCCAATTTAATGCTATTTTTAAATGGCTTTCCCAGAAAAATCACCTTTGGGTTATTATAACTGACTTTCTAGAAATGTAACAATGATCAAGATTTAAATTTAAACATTCTTTGGAAAACTATTCTGAATACTGTATTTATCATATTATAGTGAAATTATAACTTTTCTTAGATTTTAAGCCCCAAAGAAAACCATAAAAGACCAATGGACTCAAGTACTTAAACTGGCACTTCTGTAATAATGTAGTTAAAATAAGAAAAGATAGAACTGTATTTTAAGCAAATAAATGACTAATAAAAAAAAAGAAAGAAAGAAAGGAAAAGAGAAAGAACTAAAAGACAAATGGTCTTATTTGCACATTCATCTCAAGTTGGAAGCAGGGACAGAAACTGAGAAAGCTGCCAATTAGATAAACCATGGTTGAGAATGCCCACTATAATAAACAGGTCAGCTCTCTCTAATCTAGGAGCTCAATAAAATTCATTATAAATTTTATTAAAGCTTTATGTGGAACTTGGCAAGCCAGTGTTAAACTTCATTTGGAAGAGCAAAGGGCCAAGAAATCAAACCTTTTTACTAGAAAGATAGGGGATGTCCTTGCTCTAAGAAATACCGTTATAAAGTCTAATGATTAAGACTTTCAGACTTTGACACAGTAGAGACAAAAAGGTAGCTAACACATTTTATAAAGTAAATATAGAAACACAAAATATCGCTGAATATTGCAAATCATTGGGAAAGAATGAACTATTCAAATACTTTTGGATCAATTGTTTATCTGTAATTTTTTTTAAGTATAATTTAGATCCCTTAGTTCACAACATATATAAAAGTCTATTTTAGGGGAACTAAAAACCTAAATGTGATAAGCAAAATATTTTAAATTCCAGAAGAAAATGTAGGAGAATAACCTTTACGAATTGTGTTCAGTAAGGAAATCTTGCATTAAGATACAAAAAGCATAAATGGTAAAGGGGGGGGTGAAGTTCATTGAGTTTACATCAATCCCTGAAAACTCTGTATGAAAAAAGACAGTATTAAAAAGTGAAAATAAGTAAAACTACTGAAGTGTATCCTTTTTAAAGAGTTATTTGTATGGTATGTAAGTTATATCTCAATAAAACTGATATTAAGAAAGTGAAAAAAATAAAAATTAAAGAAAGTGAAAAGTTTTATATATAAAATAGAAGAACAATAAGGACCTGCTGTATGGCACAGGGAACTATATTCAATATCTTGTAATAAAACCTATAATGAAAAAGAATCTGATAAAAAAATACATATAGATAACTTAATCACTTTGCTATACACCTGAAATTAACACAACATCGTAAGTCAATTACACTTTAATATAAAGTTGCTTTGAAAAAAAGAAAAAAAAAGAAAGACAGTGAAAAGATGGAAAGCAACAATGATCTCTGGCTTTGCATTCATAAAATCGACCAAAATTTAAAGACTGACAGTACCAAGAGTGTGCGAAGGTGTAGAGGACACAGATAAATAAGCTGCTGGTGAGAGCGGAAACGTCTGCAACCTCTGTGAAGAGCAGACACTGGACCACCTAGGACCTAGAGGACATACATACGTGTTAACAGCAGCAGCTTCTCCAAAACCATCTGAGCAATCACCAACAGGGAAGCATTTAAATTTGGAATATTCATAAATGAAATGTGATACGGCAGCCAAGATGAATGAACAGGGCTATATGAATCATCATGGTAATAATAACAGCTAGTTACTGCAGTGGGGGGAGGAGGGGGAGAGGAGGGGAGGGCAGGGGGGAGGTGGAGGAGGGGGGAGGGAGGGCATGGGGAGGGGAAGGGGGAGGGAGAGGAGGGGGGAGGAGAGGAGGGGGAGGGGAGGGGGGAGGGGGGAGGTGGAGGAGGGGAGGAAGGAGGGGGAGGGGAGGGGGAGGGAGAGGAGGGGGGAGGAGAGGAGGGGGAGGGGAGGGGGGAGGGGGGAGGAGGGGGGAGGGAGGGCATGGGGAGGGGAGGGGGGAGGGAGAGGAGGGGGGAGGAGAGGAGGGGGAGGGGAGGGGGGAGGGAGAGGAGGGGGGAGGAGAGGAGGGGGAGGGGAGGGGGGAGGGGGGAGGAGGGGGGAGGGAGGGCATGGGGAGGGGAGGGGGGAGGGAGAGGAGGGGGGAGGAGAGGAGGGGGAGGGGAGGGGGGAGGGGGGAGGTGGAGGAGGGGAGGAAGGAGGGGGAGGGGAGGGGGAGGGGAGGGGGGAGGGAGAGGAGGGGGGAGGAGAGGAGGGGGAGGGGAGGGGGGAGGGAGGGCATGGGGAGGGGAGGGGGGAGGGAGAGGAGGGGGAGGGGAGGGGGGAGGGGGGAGGGGGGAGGGGGAGGGGTGGGCGAGTGAATCTGAAGGAGGCACAAAGGGACACAGAGAGCTTTGACTCAACCTGTGAAATGTTTTGTTTTCTGTTTCCAAGATCTGAGGCAAATATAACAAAAATGTTATTTGTAAGATCTGGGTAGTAGCACATGTCTGTTTATCTTATTTTCCTATTTTATATATTTGGAATAATTTCATAGGAAATAAAATGCCTTCGGTGTTTAATAAACATGACTGGTTCTGAAATTAGAGTAAATAATACGTTTGGTATGAAAGCAACGGTTCTAACCACACAGTATTATCAAAAATGTTTAAATCAAAGGGATCGTGTACCTTCAGTTATGCAAGAAGAATAAGCTCTGCAATACAACTCAATGCCTGTGGTTAACAGTACTGTGTTGTGGATTTTTTAACTTGTCAAGAGGATCGATCTCATCTTGTGTCTTACAACAAAATTAAATAGATGAGAGATAGAAATAGTGATACAGAATTACAGAATACCCTAAAAATGAGTCCTATAAAATGTTCTCTGCATTCTTACTAAAACATACATGTAAGGGAGACAAGCAGAATTCGTATAATTTTTTCTTTGGAAAATAAAGGTTCTTATTCATTTTTACTGGAGTGTAGTTGCTTTGCAATGTTGTCCTAGCTTCTGCTGCAGACACAAATGAGTCAGCCGTATGTGTATGTCTGTGCGGGGCTTAGTCGCTCAGTTGTGTCCGACTCCTTGCAACCCCACGGACTGTAGCCCACCCGGCTCCTCTGTCCATGGGATTCTCCAGGCAAGAATACTGGAGTGGGTAGCCTTTCCCTCCTCCAGGGGATCTTCCCGACCCAGGGGTTGGACCCAGGTGTCCCTCCTTGAGGGCGGATTCTTTGCCATCTGAGCCACCAGGGAAGCCCATGTTTACATCTATCCCCTCTTTTTTGGATTTCCTTCCTCAGTCACCACACAGCACTGAGGAAGTCCCCTGTGCTTTATAGCAGGTTCTCATTGATTACCCATTTTGTACATAGTATCAGTAGAGTAAGAGAATTCCTATTGTTTAATCCAATCTATTCCTCCCCATTTTTACATGGAACTCATTATGTACCGATCTATTACTGACAGATCATTTCTTTTATTCTTTAGACCAGACCATGCCACTTCTATATCTTGTCTAATACATCATAATAAGGTAATAGCCCAATTATAAGCCAGTTTTTTTTTCCACTAGCGTGTCTCTTTGCCTCCTTTCTGGTTCCATTTTTGGGTGACACCAGCTGCCGTATGTTTCGCCTGTGAAGAGACAGAACCAAATAAGAGAAGAAGGGTGTTGGGATTAAAGAGAGGTGTGACAAGGCAGGGAGCAAGAAATGCCTGGTTCCCTTCCATCCTTCATGGAAAACTGAGGAAGAGGAGCGCATACATAATGCAGACCCATGCTCACAAGCTGGAACTCTGGCCAAATTTTACACTGAAAACATTAAAAAGATCAAATATAAAATTCTTTACTTGGATGCAAAAGTCCCCATGCCAGATATACAGCATAAGGCCTGAAAGAACTAGCAAGCAGCCCTGTGTTAATTTCTTTTTTTAATTGTATCGTTGACCAGATACTCATTAGAAGTAAACAGTAGATTACTGGTGAGAAAAGAAAAAATACTACTGCAGTCTTAGAATCTGGGGAGGAAGAAAGTACGTCCCAGCCAGGTCCAGGGGGTATCGTGTCAACATTAGGGCCACTGCATCTCAATCCGGACACCGTGTTTTAAGAGTTGCTTGAACACACTTAAAGAGCTGTACAAAGGGTGGGGAGACCCACGACTATTTTATGAGCAGGAGCGGAAGAAACATGAAGAGAGCTGAGGTCCTGTGCACATAAGCAAGGAGTGAAATCAAAGAGCAAACTAAATCCTGCTGGACGCAGTAAACATCTGTGATACACGGCGCTGTTGGAGATCTGGTGGGCCCAGCGTAGAAAGAATTTCTTACACTGGTATTACAGAGAGCCACTGATCCATCTTTCTGATCCATCTTTCTTAAGTGCAAAATAAATGCTCAAGATGCACCGTTAATGTGGATCAAGTGCCTAAGAATAAAGAAAAATAAACAATTTACTTTGAAAGATTAAATGTACAAAGGGGGTAGCATGATAGGATTTGGGGGGCTGATGGAATGGCTCTGGGTCTTGACAGTGGAAGTGGTTATACGACTCTACACATATGTCAAAATTCGTAAGTCTGTCCACCCAACACAAATAAATTTTACTGTTGTAAACTGCAAAATAAATGAGCCAAGACATTTTAGGATACAACAAAGCTAATTTTATCCATAGAAAGAAAGTCGCTTGGTCGTGTCCGACTCTTTGCGACGCCATGGGCTGTAACTCTCCAGGCTCCTCTGTCCATGGGGATCCTCCAGGCAAGAAGACTGGAGTGCCATGCCGTCCCCCAGGGGATCCTCCCACCCCAGGGATTGAACCTGGTCTCCTGCACTGCAGGCAGCTTCTTTACTGTCTCAGCCAGCAGGGACGCCCAAGGAGCCTCTTCTGCAGGGGATTTTCCGACCCAGGGATGGAACTGGGGTCTCAGGCATCGCAGGCGGACTCCTCTTCATCTTACAGGTCACACTGATTCCAGAGTAGAAAAAAGACACTGAGAGAGTCCCCGGCATTCAACCTTGTTGATGCCCTGACTGGTCGGTTCACATCCTGGATGCGTTCACGGGGGCCTGTTTCAGTCTTCCCAGAGCAGGGGAGGGGTGCTGGAGAAGCGAGGCCGGCCTCCCCGCTTAGAGAAGAGGGGGGAGCAGGGAAGACAGAGACGCAGGAGCACCGGGTGAGGACCAAGTCCGCTCCGTCCGCGCTGGGCTCACCAGCCCGGAGCGCCGGGGTTTCCAGCGCCCACCCCAAGCCCGAGAGAGGCCCGCAAGGACCCTCCCTGGGGTCTCCGGAGGACGTGCAGCCTGCTGCCAGCTTGATCTTAGACCCTGGCCCCCAGACTGCGGGGCGATAAATTCCTGTTATTTTAAGCTACTTAGTTTGTGGTGATTTGCGAGGAAGCCGTAGAAAACACACACCCACTGAACGCAAGTCACGTTGGTCTTGGTTCCCCAAACACACCGAACGCATCCCAGACCCGGGACTTGGCTCTGACTGTTCTCTTTGCCCAACGCGCTCTTCCTTCTGTCTTCGTGCGCCCGTCGCCTCCGCGTCGTTCAGCCCTGGGTTCCAATGTCACCTCCTCCACCGTCCAGCACTCAACCCCAAAGAGCCGCCAGGTGACTTTCGGTTCCGTTCAGTTCGGTGCATTAGCCTAGCTGGTACCTGCGTGGCCTCCAGCGACCTGGGGCGTCCCGCGGCTGCACTGCGGCGTCTTTGGCCGCTTGCCCCCCGCCTAACACGCGCTCGCGGACGGGACCCGGCCTCGCCCCTGCTGCCCCCGAGGGCCCAGGCAGCGCTTCCTGCTTAGTGAGCAGGGGGCCAGTTGGTCCCGATTTATCTAAGACTGTCCTGGTTTTAAACCTTCTTTAAACCAAAAGAAGCTAATGTGCCCGGACAGCCTTGGGAAGGCAGGGATGGCTTATCCCACTACTGGTGGACCTTGTCAATCCAGTTACCAGCAACGCCAGCAGCTGCATGAACACGCCTTTTAAAGAAGTAAAGGCCTTCCTCACTGAAATCCAACATAATGTAGGTGAGCATTTCGGTCACGAGGTGGCACTACACTACTAGATTTATTAACACACCAACCAAGTCAACGACGCGAGGTAACATAATATTCAAAACTGCTGAGGTATTCAGCTATCTTCATATAGTACTATTACAGTCTTCTTTAAGACTGAAGTATACAATTATATACCTTTGAGGAACTTTTATTTCCGGTGCCTATTTCTGCCAATCATTAAATTTTTGCATATAGAAAAAAAAAAGAATTTCTAAATACTATGACTAATTTGCATTTTAATTCTGTTAAGATATGTCACATTAGCCTGAAAAACCTACAGTTGGACATATGTAACTGTGACTACAATAACATCTTGTATCCGAGGATTTAAAATATACAAAGTATTCATGTGTTCACTGTTTGACCACTTGAAGGTTTTGATGGCTGCAGAAAAAAATCAACTTGGCAGAAAAAAAAACCGAACATCAGAAATATCCCAGAGCAAGCTTCCCTCAACTTCACAGATCTTCGGTAACAGATAATCCCAACCTGGTTTTCTTTTCTAGCAGAACCTTGTAAAATTATCATGGCAAAAGAGTTCACCTCCAGAATTCATGCCTGGAGTAGAGATTGACTACTCTTTTTCAGAAGTTAACATTTACTCCAGGGAACAGTTGGGTGTTCGTTTCGTGGTTTTGGTTTAAATCTCCTAGCATCAGATTTTTAATTGAAGCATATTTCATCTACAGCACTGTGTTAGTTTCAAGTGTACAGCAAAATAATGTGGTTTTCTTTTGATTCTTTTTCAGGTTCTTTTCCATTATAGGTTCTTACAAAACAGTAAGTATATTTCCCTGTGCTATACAGTAGGTCCTTGTGTACCTATTTGATGTATTCCAGGGAAATGTTTCTAAAACAGAGGTCATAATTCAAGGAAATGTTCTCCTCTCTTATCTCCAAAGACTAAGGTAGTTCAGTCCTATCTTGGCAAGACATAATGCTATGTTTGTATCAAGCAAGCAATAGTATATGTTATTTACAAAGAATATATGTTTATAGCTGAAGTAAAAGAATGGGCTGACAGATACCATGATGAAATCCTCATGGTGGCGACTTTCAGGGAGAAATTAAGGGAAATTGAATCAGGAAGGAGGTCAGGGATACTACAGCTTGATCAGTATTATTTATTTTTCGAAAGAAATTATAAGTTTGATGTTTTCTTGTGAGTGCTAATGTTGGCTATATTATATTCTGTTGTTTTCTTTCTTTCTAACTTTTCCAATTAAAAGAAGAAAGAAAGACGTATTGTCCCCAAGGGTCAGTTGACTTTCCTGTAACAAGTCTGTCAATTCAAGGAAAAAACAGAATATGTTCAAAGTGACGCAGCCTTTGGCCTCCTCGAATGAAACTTTCATGAAGACATAAGAACCCAGGATAGGTTATTCCGATTGGAAATTGTTTTTTGTTTGATGTTTAACACTTTTCTTCCAGTTTTATTGAGATATAATTGACATATAACACTGTACAAATTTTAGGTGTGTATATTATCACCATAAGTTTATTGAACATCTGTCTAATATAGATACAAAAGAAAAGAAAAAGGAAAATATTTTTCCCTTGTGATAAGAACTCTTAGAATTTACTCTCTTAACAGCTTTCATATATAACATTCAGTAGAATTGATTATATTAATCATGTTGTATATTACATCCTTAGTATTAATTATTACTGGAAATTTGTACCTTTTGACTGTCTTCATCCAATTCCCCTCTCCCCCAACCCCTGCCTCTGGTAATCACAAACCTGATCTCTTTTTCTATGGGTTTGTTTGCTTTTGAAGTATAATTGACCTGAAGGACTGTGTTAGTTCCTGGTGCACGAATATGATTGAATATTTCTAGACGTTACAAAATGATCACCATGACAAGTTTAGTTGCCATCTATCACCATACAAAGATACTACACCATTATTCACTCTATTCCCCATACTGTTGGTTTCGTATCCATGACTCATTTATTTCGTAACTGAAAGTTTATACCTCTGAATCTCCCTCACCTAGTTCTCTGATTCCCAACTGCCCATCCCTCCCCCATTAGAATTTCCAGTGGATCAGTGCATAGGTGGATTTCTTTCTCTCTAAATGTGCTACTAGAAAAGGGTGTTTTGCAAAATGCTGTTCTAATGAGAGCATTGTATAAGTAATGACCTCACACACTAGAAAGATAGAGGAAGAGATGGGAGGGTTGGAAAATGAGTCAGTGCAATTGGAAACCGTTTACAGTTGAAGATGAACATGATTTTGCATGTTCAAAATGGCAGTGTTTTGGTTTACACAGAGGCAGCATAGTGCAGGCCAGAGACCCAAGGTTACGGGTGGGGAACGTGTATGCGAGGCTCCCGGCGTCATTCCCCCCTCTCAGGCTCCGTCCTTTGCCTGTTTATTTGGCGCGCGGGGTCTTCGCTGCGGCGTGCAGCCCTTCCGTGGGGCGTGGACTCTCAGCTACCGCGCTCGGGCTCAGCTGCTCCAAGGCGCCAGGGACCGTGCTTCCCTGGCACTGGATCGAACCCGTGTCCCCGGCCCTGCGAGGCAGATTCTTAACCACTGGGCCACCAGGGAAGTTCCTCCCTGCTTTCAGTATTTTTCAAGTGAGCTTTAAAGGCACTGAAGTAGCTACTTTTTAGGGGGAAAAAATATTTTTAAATATATCTTTATATCGTGAGATGTTTTTCTTTCATATTCTTCAACATATCATTTGGTGTGGATCAGTTCAGATTCGATGGGAAAAAAAAAATACTGTCTTATTATCAATGAGGCTCTAGTCCCCACTCCTAATTCCTTTTCAGGAAATTAAAGCACAAACAGAGGTAAATAAAATGCAGAAACAAGGCATTGATCCAACATCTTGTGAAGAGTAAACAGGAATGAATAGAGGAAGCTTCCGTAGAATTGAAGTCTCCTACAGACATACCATAACTTTGTATTTGAGTACTTTGAATAAAATGCTTTCTAAAATTTATTTTATACTTACTCTTTATAGTACAAAACCCAACTTAACCTTTTCTTCACATTCAAAATGCTAGTTGTTACTATATATAAAGGACTTATTATATAGCATAGTGAACTCTAGTCAGTACTCTGTAATTGTCTATATGGGAAAAGACTCTGTATATGTATAATTCAATTATTTTGCTATACACCTGAAATTAACACAACATTGTAAATCAACTCTACTCCAATATAAATTTTTTTTTAAATGCTGGTTGTTTTCCGTACTAATGAGTAGAGAAGCATCCTTGAAAGCACACTAAATGCTGTTTGTTTATTTGTTTAAGGGTCTTACCTGCTTTGCATGAGGGCTATCTTATTATTTGAACAGAGGTGGGAGTAGTAATACTTGTTGAACTGTTGTTCATTTAGGGATGCCTTTTTGTATATTTCTTTGTTTCTCAGATGTGTTTTTGAATCCTTGTGACTAAGAGGCTTGGAGAAAGTATTTAGGGCAGGAACCAACAGAGATAGGTGGGAGGCAGAAAGTTAAAGATACACGGAGTTCTCTACAGATACCTGCAATTAATTAAACCCCCTCTCTGTTAGGAACAACGACCAAAAAAAAAATACCCTTTAAAACTCATTTTTCAAAATATGTTGATGCAGAGCCTTATAAAATAAATAGTTTCCTGTTTTGATCAGAGAGGCAGCAAGTATAGCAGTTAGAAGAAGACTCAACCAGAAATTTACTTGAATTCCTATACCTCTATTTCCTCATCTATAAAATGGCTTACATAGTACCTACCTCACAGAGTTTCAAGAAGAAAAACATGAGTCAGTATTTGCAAAGCACTTAGAACTGTGTCTGGCACATAGATATACAGCTGTTATATTGATATAAGCTACACTATGGTAAAAAAAGAATGTTAAGGCAATTTTGTTTGTTGTTCATGTTCTGTAATGGGTTATATGTTCCTGTTTTCTACATGATTCTGAGAAAAAATGTGTGTCTGGTATCTAACCCTGCCCAGGGCTGGCTTCACGCCCATCTCAGAAGGGCTCCATGCTGGATTTAATGCTTCTGTCTTGAAATTCTCCCTACTCTTTGAACTAGCTGTCCGGATTTGATTTTGCCCCGGGCCCTGCAGATGATGCCCTGATGTTGATGCTGACCACGCAAGGTCCTCCTTTGTTCTCCTGGGTTCTATTAAGCCCAGAGGTCCTGAGCTGGTGGCAGCACCCTCTCTCTGCCCACAGGTGTGGGGTGGGTTGCTTCAGAGGACAGAAAACAACTGAAAGCTCCCAGGCACCATGCTGGGTCTTTGCCTGCAGCCCCCCCACCCCCACCCCCCGCCGGCA